ATGTTTTGTTAATTTAAACTTTCATCTATAACAGAGGTTTCGATATATCCATGTTAATGCACAACAGTCATTAGATATAATGCATTAACGTAAACATATCGATGCTTGTGTTATAAATGAGAGTTTAAATTAAAAAAAAAAACATTAAATATGCGCAATTTTGAGTAACTGGACGCTTGTATGCGATGTATATAAATAGACGCATAGATAGGTTTATACAATATATACATAAATACACATTTACATGCAATCCTGGCTGATTTATTAATAATGAAATATAGCATTTGCTCATGTTGGTAACCCTGAACTTTCCCGTACGATCAAAGGTTTTGAAAGCGATTGTGAATACGACAGTTGTAAATGACAGTTGGCATTCCAATAGTCGACTTTGACACTATTTTCCCCGAAAAAACGTCCTTTAAATTAGGCTGTAAATTGTATTAAAGCATCATAAGAAGTACCAACTGTGGCGTGTGGCGTGTGGCGTGTGGCTCTTCTCTCAATCTCACGATGTGCAAGTGTGACCTCTAAGACTCGCCTGCTATTAAGGTCACCTCTTTCTAGTCCCTTCTCTGTCTAAGGCGAGCTGAGTGGATCGTAAAAATGGCTGCTAATCTACCGCTTCCGCATCGTTTATTTGTGTGTGTGTGTGTGTGTGTGTGTGTGTGTGTGTGTGTGTGTGTGTGTGTGTGTGTGTGTGTGTGTGTGTGTGTGTGTGTGTGTGTGTGCGTGCGTGTGTGTGCGTGTTTGTGCGTGTGTGTGTATGAGATTCCAGCCATCGTCACAGGGTCTTCTCTGAGGGAAATCCATCACAAATTCTCTCTATAATAACATATTCACCCATGTCGTTGATACATTTGCTTCCCTGAGAAACCCTATAAGTCATTCTAGGGGGAAATCCTTCCATATAAAAAGAACACAAAAAAATGATATTTAGTGGTTTCCTTAACTACGTATTCATATAATGCAGCTTTAACACATGGCATTTATTTTGATAAATATATTTTATAGATCCCTGGTCAGTCATGAGTCTCCCCTCAAGAAGTGACATTTTGTTTACCTTATACAGTTGGTACACACATGATGAAGTATGAATTCCTGGTAAGTAACGCAATCAGTGGTAACAGGGGCGGTATTGTTGAAGTTTTGCGGCAAAATGATAATAAAGAATATGTTCATTTGAGCATTACAACAAAAATATTTTTGAATGCTCTTTAAGATATAGTATACGGTTCTTATTTTACTGTATAGCGTAAAAAATATATATATAGTTAGTTTTTTAAAGAATAATGTTGCACCATTTCGGGAGGTCCATCCCACCTGATAGTTTCCACATAGTTTTTTGCGATATATTACAAATTTCAGAAATTATAATAATTGCCAGATTTTAACGACTCTCATCCCCATATATATTCAGATGAAGTTTTATTTTGCTCTTAATATATATACATATCCATATAAGAGTGTATAAGCATCTAACCATGTTCTCGGACCCAAGGATAGAAATTGTCTTTATTACATGTTTTGTTAATTTAAACTTTCATTTATAACATAAATTTCTATATCACGTTCATACACAACAATCGTTAGATAGGGTACATTAACGTATCGTCAACATATAGATGCCTGTGTTTTAGATGGATGTTTAATTTAACAAAACATTTAATAAACGCAAATTTCAGTAATTGGACGCGCATGCCTTCATATATGTAGGTCTATGTATATACAGACATTTAGGTTTATAAAACACACACACACACGCGCGCGCGCGCGCACACACACGCGCACACACACACACACACACACACACACACTGTAAGAGTTATTATATACACCTCTATACATTGGTAACAGGGAAGTAGTAAAAGCTAAGATATGACACTTGGGTTATGGCTGGTCACTTGTGGTCACCGGCCAGCCCACCTCTTGACCTCGCCAGTCACACTCTCTTCACACTCTCTTCTAACAGGGCCATCCTTGGAGAATAAGTAGCGGTGATTGGAAGCCAGGGGCGGAGCTACAGGGGCGTGGCTAAAGAAACTGCCAATGCCCGACCTTCGCGTGGGCGTGGCCTCCCTATTTCCTGCCCAGGGTGTGGCTCCCTGCAGCTGGCCCCAAGGGCTTGGGAATGGTCAAAAGTTAGCCCTTCTGGAGTCCTATTTCTTGGGGAGGTCAGGTCAGGTCAGGTCAGCGGCGCCCGGGGCGTAGGCCACCTGGGAGGAGGTCATTCCAGATCTTGAATCTCACACACACACACACACACACACACACACACACACACACACACACACACACACACACACAAACACAAACACAAACACAAACACAAACACACACATACACACACACACACACACACACACACACACACACACACACATTAGGCCTACCAACTGTGGCGCGCAGGACACATCAGGCGTAACAACCACTCCCCGCAGAAGTCCCCAGGAAAGGGGCTTGCCCGTGCAGTTAAATTTTACAGATTGCGAGTGCGGGGCTCCTTGCCTGGGAACTGAATTGCACTGCACGCATCAACCTTTTAATAATACGGCCGTAACAGCTTCCCCCGCACTTTCCCTTATTATTAAAGTTTTGCGGGTGTTGCTCGTCCCGCGGGGTCCCCGCATAGTATTGGAACAAATGCGGGTCAGCTTGGAGCACCCCGCACTATGCCCCGCAAAATGATAATTTAGAATATATTATTTTTTTAATGCTATTCAAAGTATATTATACGGCTCTTATTTTACTATATGACTTAAATAAAATATATAGTTTTAAAGACTAATGTTTCACCATTCCAGGAGGTCTGTACCGACTGAAAACTTCCCTACAGTTTTTGCGAGGTTTTATTACAGGTTTCAAAAATTACAGTAATTACCATATATCAATGACTCTCGCCCCCATATATGTATTCAAAAGAACTTTTATTTTGCTTTTAATATATATGCATATCCATATATGAATGCACGCAATTTCGAATAATTGTACGCGCATGCCTCTATATATGTAGGCCTATGTATATAAATACACAAATATATAGGTCTGTACAATATATACATATAAATACACACTTTTTCATCTATGTATGCGTGTGTATGTTTCGGGTAGATTTCGGGTAGTTTGCTATCATTCGGTGATATTTCAACATCTATCCAGCCTTTATGAAGGATAAAATCAACCATCATTCAGTTAGATTAAAGTTAGATTAATTAAATACCAAGGTAGAAGAGTTGCCACAACTCTGAAAATAGAACATATGCAATGATTTATTAATAATTGAATACGATATTTGCTCATGTTGGTTATCCTGAACTTTCCCATACGATGAAAGATTTTGAGAGGATTGTGAATATGACAGTTGACTTTCCGAAAGTCGGGGTTAACACTATTTTTCCCGTAAAAAATACTACGAATCTGGCTGTAAATCGTAATTAGGCCAACGTTAGGCGCACGCAATGCATCAGGCCTACCAAAAGTTCCCGCAGAAGTCCCCAGGGAAGGGGCTTGCTCGCGCAGTTTAATTATACGGTTTGCGAGTGCAGGACTCCCCGCACCATTCCTTGGGGACTGAATTGCGGGGCCCGTACCAGCGTTTTAATAATTTGGCCGTTAGACTCCGAAATTTGTCTTAGATATAAAAATGTTAATGCTGGTAATAGAATAAGAATTTACATCGGTATAGACTATGAAGATAATGGATTGCAGTGCTATGTTTAAACTACATACTACGGTAAATCTTACTTTTATAATGACAAAAGTATTACACATTTTATATATTCCACTAAAATTTAGGCAACCATAGGTTTGTTGTCACTGCATCAACTGTGGAGCCGTGCGGTGCCATTTGTATTTTCAAATAGAAAGCAACTATGTAGAAAACGGATCAATTAATGCTTGACAATAAATCTGAATGTGTCCCCAAAGTCTGTTATTGATGTGTGGTTATCTTCATATGTCTCTAACTCGGCAAATTTATCTATGACTCCCTACGAAAATGTTTTACACAGGCAGTTTTTGTCTAAGACTCGGCCCAAGTGTCTGTAAAACTACAATGTACAGAGTTGAAGACAATCCTGTATCGAATATGATAGAAAAATCTTTGAAGATCATTTTGATGTAGTGTCAGATATTAATTTAGTAATTCTTAAAATATTTTCCTGACATTTTCTATTCACATCCGCAAGGGATCTTTGATTTTGTCCTAACGCGTAATTTGTTCTTAGGCACATTTTCCTTTTTTGAAGATTATTCAACTTTGGAAATAATAAGAAAAGTTTCGAGGCCTCATCTGACTAATCAGACATTAACTAAGCCGACGCCTATATTTTTATTGTTGTATTTTATAAAAATATACAAATACATACTTGATGCAATGCCAACAAGCGTAGGGATGCCACATCATATTTAGATATACTTAATGCGTAATATTACCCTTATGATAAGAGTAGGATTTGTTGCCATATTTACCCTATCGTCTCATTACAATGGATTATCAAAATAGGATTTCTTATGGTATAATTGTGTGTTCTATTACCAGCTTGTAGCATGCAGCATGGCTTTTTTTTTAGGTCTAAGACAAATTTCGGAGTCTACTTTTCGTAAACACGCCCCCGACACTTCAGCAACGGTCATTTCACCATATTTTGTTTTCTGTAAATATGTGTAACTTATTAGATTAGAAAAAAAAACACATCTGCATATATTTGAAGATATTGTTGAATCTGAAATAATTGAACGATGTATACAATCGAGTGTTCTTCATGCCACATAATCACATATATTAGTTGATGTAGGTTAAGTTTTAATTAAAATGAACGTGTCCATGACCGCAGTAGTATAATAACTAATTAAACCATAAATACGCTATTTTGAGTAATATAAAAGTATTAATTTCATTTATCTGTTTTATATGTGGCACCGCGCCTTCCAGAGACACTTTTTAAAGTCTCAAATGTTAGTCTCAAAATTGTCTCAGAATTGTTTGAGAACGGTCGTGGATACGGTTCCAGCATCCTCACTGTTGTACTAAGAGGCTTAAAAAGTTTAGAAGTCCCGGGGGAGGAGAGCTTCATATCCTGCTTTTGGGCCCTACTCTTCTAAATCTATTATTGTTGATGTTGTTGAACTTTTGGGAAGTTCTTTTAAGATGTTGACGATTCCGAGGCTCACCAATTGGTTTCTTGGTACTTATTTTTCGTAATATCGTCTGTTTTTGCCTGACTGCCTAATATACATTAATTATCTTTGTACTAGATCTAACTGGACAGAGACTATGATGGTATCACTATCTACAAGTTATTAAAATCTTCCAAGACATCTGACCTGAATCCATTTCTGTGTATCAATCCTCACTCGCCCTGCCTTGTCTTCTATATTCTTAAATTAAACACAAATTGCATGTTCATAGAAGCTCCATATAAAAAGGAAGCATCATTGACATATATATGCGATTTGGTATATATAATATCGTTATTAAATATGTTATTTGGAATAAGTAATATTCAGCATAATAATATATGATATAATATAATATGGTATAACATAAGTAATTTTCAGTATATAAGTATACTAATACATCTTCATGAGTATATATGATTCGTTTATTGGACTGTAGTATTTCTACAGCATTATATGCACTGAATAGGTTTATATAACATACATAACAGTAAATAGGGTAGGTTACCAGCCGCGGAGGATGTTTCCACAATTGAAAAATGAAAAAAAAGAAACTGTGGCAACATCCCCCGTGCTGTTGCCACAAAAGAGAAAAAGAGAAAGAAAAAAAAACGTGGAAGGATACACACGAGAACCCAAGCTGAAGGCCGACTGACACGTTACCAAGGAGTCAGCAGTTTGCACGGGGACGCCACACCGTCTACAACCCTTTGCCCGCCTTCCGCAAGTGCCCGCGCTGTCCTCCGTGATCTATTCCCCGTTGCTGAAGGAGAGAGAAAGCTAAAACCGCAACGGACTTTGCAACAATCCTCACACTGTCCTTGAGACAGGAGCGAGAAGGGCCTCTCCGCGGTGGTCGCGTTTTGCGGTTTTCTGACATAGTTTCTTTCGGTGAGGACTTGGGATAAGGTGCGTAATCGTTAAAAAATGTCGTTTTTTTGTTTCTGTATATTGTATGTATAGATATTTTACACACACACATACACACACACATACACACACACACACACACACACACACACATATATATACATATATATATATATATATATATATATATATATATATATATATATATATATATACATATATATATATATATATATATATATATATATATATATATATATATATGTATATATATATGTGTGTGTGTATCTGTGTGTGTGTGTGTGTGTGTGTGTGTGTGTGTGTGTGTGTGTGTGTGTGTGTGTGTGTGTGCGCGCGTGTTTGTGTGCGTGTATGCGTGTGTACGTGTGTGTGTGTGCGCGCGCGTGTTTGTGTGTGTATGCGTGTGTGTGTGTGTGTGTGTGTGTGTGTGTGTGTGTGTGTGTGTGTGTGTGTGTGTGTGTGTGTGTGTGTGTGTGTGTGTGCGTTTGTGTTTGTGTGTGTGTGTGTGTGCGTGTGTATGCGTGTTAGTGTTTGTGTGTGTGCTATATATATATATATATATATATATATATATATATATATATATATATATATATATATATAATAATAATAATAATAATAATAATAATAATAGTAATAATAAGGATAATAATATTGATAATAATAATTCGAAACCAATGAAACCAGAAAGCAGTAACAACTTACACTCACAATTGGCATTTATTTTAATCAACAATTTCTGTAGCAAAAGGCTTGCGAAGTGCAAGGGCGTTTCATATCAAGGAAACAACGGCAGTGTTTCATAACAATTCGTCATGCAACATTTTTTATTTTACTTTAGTTGTTGTTTTAAGAAAAAGAGTGGTAAGATTGTCATAGATATACTTTCTCTACATAAATGTCCAACTAATCAAGACTGGAATAGAAGCGGTCATTTACAACTTTAAAGGATTAATTCAACCGGAGTTCGCGTGACTAGGCCATATTCCCTTAAAAAAACTTATTACATGATGATTTCTAAATGTAGGAGCTTAGAATATATACGTTTTCTTTCAGCAGACAAATATAAGTAACATTTATCTGTTATAGGCATTAATGCAGACTTTGACAAATGGATTTAACGTCGACGATATTTGATAATAGAATATAATAGTATATTTGCATTTAATTATCTCGACTACGGATTGTCTGACTTGTTATTTCATTAATATTTTGCTTAATGTCTCTCGCTCACAGTACAATATATTTCATCTTGCTCTCCTTGCTTTCACTGTGAAGCCCCAATGTTGCCAGAACTCGAGAGGTGACGGTGCATTTCTCGTCAGGAATTCACTTTCTGTTCAAGAATTCTTTAAATATATACCATGAATGTATACGATGAATAATTATTTTATTCGTGTGGGGTTCGTTTTCCGAAATAACCACTCAACAAGACTGATCACTGCGTTAAATCTAATGCATTCGACAATGCAAGGGGAGAGTGAGTGCGGCAGTGCAATTGAGGATGAATGCAACGAGCTGTAATGATGAATATATCCTCTTTGGACGTCTATTAACTGAGTTCCAGTAGGGCACCGCCGGGACCTTAATAGGTTTTCTAGTCACGTGGTATTTGATGCTGCAGGTGCTCTGACCAACAGTCAGTTCTATGAGTACACAAGCATAATGTCTACCTAGCTATTTATCTGTTTATATGTGCACCCCATCCAAAGTATATATAAATCTTATATATATTTTGCCTCAACCTACGCACTCTGTATCCAACTCCCTCCGGGCACTCCAACGCCGCTAACATTAATTCAGCCTCGTATCAAAGGCGACAAAAACTACATAAGCTTCTGAGCAAAATGTGCACCGCCTCAGGCAGTCACGAGTGCATTATTTAATCAGCTTAAATAAATACTAAAGATTGCATGTTGTGCTTTTATTAGTAGCTACGCATGGTTGCTTTCGCTCGCAGATGAAGTGCGGCAAAGACTAATAATTCCTGCTCTCTATAATCAGTTACGATTTTTATTTCCTATTTATCTACTCACTTGTATTTTTCTTCCTCTCCCGTATGAGTTGGAAGTGTGTGATGAAATATTCATTTAGTGGATACTAAGAACATACACTACACCTTCCTGCTATGCTACATCATTAGCCATAACTTTTTTGACCTGTCAAAAACATGTTTGTTCAAGGGGTCGTGCCATAGGAAGTGATGGCGGCTCTTCATTTGATCGATGCTGGGGGATAGTGAGATCGCGACCTCACTAATGTATAACATATGAAGTAGAATGTTAAGCTAGATCTTCGCAAATCTCAATTGTATACCGTTCTTCGGCGGCCATAATCTCTCACTCTTATATACATACCACTATATTTATTTTGCAGATGAAGAAGTGGGGTAAAGGAGAGTTCTGGGGCGTTGGCTCTGACTACGACCCCGACTGGATTTTGACGGAGGGGCAGAAGAAGCTCCGCGACGACCTCATAGAGCTGTGCAGGACCAAGATCAGACCGCAAGCTGTAAGTTCAAACACACGCTGTTGTATTGTATTGCGAGACGAAAGTATTCGACGCTGGTTTGAAGAAGGGAGTTTATTCTTAATTACCAAATATAATTAAGTGTCGGGTGGAGATTAAATTTGTGCAGTGGCCGTCTGTATAACGCACTCTATGGATAATTTAAGATATGTTTTATAGTATTATCTATATCAAGGTTTTGAAGAATGAATATAATCATTTTAGTAATACTACAATAACCACATGTGTTTACTTAAATATAATTTTCATTTTATCTAAATTATGGAGGAAGCCAAATAAATATGGCAAACGAAAATCAGTAAATAAATAAATGCATATAGCTGCCAGCATTCGCAACTAAAGTCTTTCCTGGTTTCAGTCCAAGTGCGACCGTAATTATACTTTTCCCCGAGAATCCATGAACGCCATGTCTGAACTTGGTCTGCTGGGTCTAATTGTCCCCAAGGAGCTGGGAGGCCTTGGAGAGAACCACGTGTGTTCTGCCATGGTAAGCGAGACCCTTGCTCGCTATGGCTGCCCTTCCACCGCCATGGTTTACAGTGAGTATGATAAGTTGTTTACTAAATGTAAGACACGGCAAGTTCTTTATTTTTAATTTTCCCCAGGTTTTCTATTTCCTACTTATTGAGTGGCTTGTTTAGACACGCTGTAGTATCTTTAAATGTACATCTTGAGGTTCTCGACACCTAATAAGGAAAAAGCCCGTAGAGTTATTTAAAATCTTTCTCCGCAGCTATGCACACATCCGCAGTGGCCACCCTGCTCTTCCGTTACCATGACAACCCACATATCCAAGACCTCCTTCGACGCCTTGACAAGGATAAGCTAGTAGGAACTCTCTCCTATTCTGATCCAGCGACTGGTACGTGTCTCTGATGTTAATTCACGGGGTTTGTAATTAATATCTTGTTTGTCAAGTTCGGGAATTCCTTGTTTTCGTTATTATTTCCGCTTAATATCCAGTACACTTGTAGGTAAGAACATGACTCTTAATTACAAGATTCGAATTGCCTGCTTTGAGAGAAAAAAAATGGTGTTTTATCTCTTAAAAAAAAAAGAAAAATGTTGATTTGAATACGGAACATCACGAGATTAATGCTAACACATTTCTTCTTCATATTTGTCCAATCCCTCAGAACTCTTCCTTAGTTCACAGTCTTACTCTTCTTCTCTCAGGGGGACATTTCTGGTACCCACTTTCTTCGAAGGTGAAGGTCTTGGACGAAAACATGGTGCGGCTCTTCAAGTACGGTTCGTGGGCGACGAGCAGCGGCCACGCGGACTGGTACACCATCCAGACCGTGAGTCCTGACTTCGGAGGAGACTTCTCCAACCTGTCTTGCTTCTTGGTCTACAAGGTGGGTTCTGAGGACGAGAGGAGATGTCGAGTGTGTATAGATATCGAGCTTCTGGTAAAAATATCGAAGAATAGAAGCATAGAATATTTAAAATTTTATCTGGTGGTTGTACAGGGCGTGTGAATTTGTCTTGGAAATAGCTTTTCACGTCAGATTCAGGTATTCGGTAACTTAAGAGGTCTTATTGCTCTAGGACGAAATCCGAGCCAACACCGAAGACTGGGACGCCCTGGGCATGCACGGCAACATGTCCGGCCCGCTCATCATCGAGGGCAAGTTCTCCATGGAAAGAATGATTGGCCCTCCTGGAGATGGCCGAAAGGTTCGTGGAAGTCATTACACTTTTCCATTCTTGAATGTGTTAGCAGAAGCAATCATGAGTATTAACCGAGTATTAATTATATACGGGCAGCTCTCATTCTTTAAAAATGGCGTATTTTCTTATAATGAAAGTTGTATCGGATGCCAAAGACCTCGTTTTCTCAGAGCAACGACGAATGCGTGGCTCCCATCTTCTCCCTGAATTCGACGTCAGTATGGAACGGAATCTCCCTGGCGTGTATGGATGTGGCCAAAAGACACGTGACCCGTAAAGCACACGCTGACGTGGGGATGCGGGTATGCGACTACCCAACCATCCAGGTGAGTATTTTGACCACGAGTGACGTGAGCATCTAGGTCGCTTATGTGAAATAGGATGATCTCTATAGCTAATGTCTCTTCCAGGACTATTTTGGCGAGTGCATGAGTCACACGAATTCGTCACGAACGTTTTTGTTCAGTCTGGCGCAAGCTCTCGACAACGTCACTAACGACGGTGACTGGACTATTCGGGAACAAGATCAGACCGACTCCAGGTGAGCGAACTCTGCCTTCTGACGCGAACGCAGCGAAAACCACGCTCTTCCTTCCATAAGTGTTTCACTGGGGTGTGGGAAATGAGCGTTTGTTATAATCATTTGCTCGGATGAGTGCGAGTGCATACACGCATGCACACACACACACACATACACACACACATACACACACACATACACACACATACACAAACACACACATACACACCCACACATACACACACGCACACAGACATATACACACACACACACACACACACACACACACACACACACACACACACACATATATATATGCACACACGCACACATACACTAGTGCCAAATGCGGTTTATCCATCCAGACAATATGTTATCACTCTTATTAAACGTAACAATATTAGCATGTTGGGGTCAAAATCGGGGCGGAAAGGAACTGGCCACCCTACCGCATCATCCCGCGGCCTAGTAAGCATGTTTCTCTGCGAACATGTCCCCTACGTTCACATGAACATAGGACAATAAAAAGATGTGGTTTTACAGTACACATATTACATATTACATATTAGTACACATTACATATGCTGATATTGTTTGGAGAATTCAAATGTCCCCCAATCTCCCGCCGAAAGATCTAATCAATATTTATAAATTCCAGGTCAAAGTTTGCACACTGGTTGTTCCAAGCAAAGTTTATTGCTGCCAAGAACGTGTCCAAAGTTGGCGATAAGATGCTTCATGCTTGCGGGGGGTCCGGGTACAAGGCAAGTGCATAAAGGTCTTTTTAGGACGAATGTAATTAGGGGGAATTTAGAATACTAGTAACTTGTATTTTTTGCTATATTTACTTGTGCATGTGACTATCAAATCACTGATAAACACAGCTAAAATAGGCCTCATTATTAAATCATAAGCGTACCATGATAACTATTCCCATAGCTGGGAAAAACAAAAACAATAAAAAATCTGAAATTTGAACTTTTTCCTCTCTTCTGTCCCCCTGGTAGACTGACCTTGGCTTGGAGCGGCTACTGCGGGACGGCAAAGCAGGCTGGGTCATGGCGGTGTCAAACGAGGTCACGAGGCAGATAGTGGGGAAGACTGTGCTCGAGGGGCTTAACGTGCTCGATATCTGGTGAGGACCTTTGCCCTCGCTGCTTATCAGGGAGATGAAGTGTGTCACGTTTTTTTCGCTCTTTAGGCAACCCGGGTCATTTCTCTGAGGGTAATGTTCCAGGTTTTACGCTCAAATTCCAGAGTGAAGATGCATTATTTCAAAACTATCCTCCGGAAGTTTTATCATTGCTAAGTGAATAAAACGAAATATCTTTCATGTGTAAATACGTGTGTGCATGTGTGTGTACACACACACACACACACACACACACACACACACACACACACACACACACACACACACACATACACACACACACACATATATATGTGTGTGTGTGTGTGTGTGTGTGTGTGTGTGTGTGTGTGTGCGTGCGTACGTGCGTGCGTGTGTGTATGTATGTATATATATCTGAGTGATATGAATTCCGTTAGGGACCAGAAACCGAACGAGAGAACCATCCACCACGAAATCAAGAAAATGAGCATCGAGGAGCGCAAGAAGCTGGCCGAGACACTTCTAGAAGACGTCGCTACAGAGGAGAAGGGCGAAGCGAAGCACCCGTTCCAAGACACTGACTTTGACAACCCTTTC